TTTCACCGTGGATGAAGCGGAGTCCAGCCCGGGGTCGTCACATGTGGTTGCCGCTCATTCGTCGGATCCGCACGCTAAGCCGGGGCTTCGGCTCGCGCTAGCCCGGCCTCAGCTCATTCTAGCCCGGGCTCAGCTCACTCTATCCCGGCCTCAGCGCACGCTAAGCCGGGGCTTCGGTTCACGCTAGGCCGCTGTGTTTTTTGTTGTGAAAGCGAAACTACTTTGTTTGGTCTTCCAAAAGAGGAAGTCGTCTTCCACGACTACAAATCAGTGGTTAAGTTGTATTTACATTTCTCTGATCACAAATGCAGACAGAGTTTTATGTTTACGCGGCGCGATGCAATGCAACGCAACGCGTAAAAAGACAGTATAAGTCATTATAATCAGTAATTATGTCCCCACTGGATGCAACATATGCCTCGTTTGTAATGGGTTTTAATGTTTTTGTCTCGCCGCTCCGGCCGGACAGGGCATCAACAGTATGGTGAGGGGCGTAACATTTCCGTCACACACTTGAGGTATTCGGTCAATCACAACGCACTGGATAGCTGGCCAATCACAGCACACCTCGCTTTTTCAGACCGATGAGCTTTGTAAAAATCGACGCGTTTCAAAAAGGCGGGGCATAGAGGAGAAACAGTAATGTACAGTGTGTGGAAAATAATGTTTTTTTTTTTACTTTAAACCGCATAAACACATTTCATTACACCAAATACACAAAATAATGTTCTTTTTAGCAGCATCATATGACCCCTTTAAATAAGTAAAAATGTTATGAATGACAGAATAGGCTATGTTATTGCATTCAATTTCCCCAAAACTATAGGCTCACTTTACAAGGTCACATTGTAAACTCTGCACAGTTGTTTGCACAGAAGTTAGACATAAGTTCTCAATTTCACTGAACAGTTTTATTATTACTTAATAATTATTACCTGATTGACAACAGCCCCACCTACTGGCCCAAACAGGCACTGTTAAACAGTGTTTTTAAAAGGCGCTCATGCAACAGACAAAAAAAAAAAAAAGCACAAGACACCAAAAAAGCAGTGAGACGAGGGCCCAAGAAATTCATAAAACACAGGCATGAGTGAGGTGATTTAGATGTATTTTCACTGAGAAGCAAAAGAAGATAGCTACTGGAGCTGCCAAGTTCCAGAAAAAAAGTATCATAGTAGCCTCATAAAAGCAGCCAGTATGACTTGAGTAGGCCTACTGTATTGCAATATAAGTAAAATGTGTTATTCACTGAAGCATCTTCCCACATAAAGCTACTGTATGGCATGGCCGAAGACAGACTTGGACTTTTACGCACAAGTCATTCTTTTTACGGTGCTATTGTGTCCCTTTTGAAGCTTGAAAGTTTCCGTTTCCATTCATTGTAATTGCATTGAAAAAAGTAACAAGTACATTGTTGTACACAAGTCTACATCTTATGGAAGAAAGTCAAACAAACAGGTTTGGGATGACATGAGTATGAGTAAATGATGACAGAATGTTTATTTTTGGGTGAACTAATCATTTAAAAAGGTGCTAAAATCCACAAGCTGTGATGGTGTTGATCCTGTGTGAATCAGCTGGGTTAATTCTGTAATCTGCTCCAATTTAACTTTACTCTCAGTCTGAGGTGTTTAGCACAGAGAGAGCTTCAAGAAGTGGCAATGTGCATTTGTTTATTTTTTTTTCAGGATAGTTTGAGCTGTTTGTTCACATTTATATGTTTTTTTATTCCTTCCTGAAGAATGAACCTGTGGGCAGTACACTGTTCAGAGCAAACGCCATAGATTATGATTTTGGCACAGCTTCTATTGTGTCCTACAAAATTGATGACGTATGTTCCCTTCAAGTCATAAATTGCATTTTCACCCCCACATCTCACTTTAATTGTATTCATAACACAGTAAGTTTGTCTTAGGTGACACCAAATGATGGGGCTAGCCTGTTTTCAATCTCTCCGACTACTGGAATTGTTGTCCTGCGGGGACCTTTGAGCTTCACTGACAAAAGTCCTTTCTATCAGATACGAATCATTGCATCTGTAAGTATTTATTTATAAAGTAATTATATTCAGATAAGTGATGGGGTTTTCTTTGAATGAGGGAAAATATGTGTATGGGATGCACACTTAAAAAAAAGATGCATAAAAACATTGCAATATTTCATTATTTTTACAAAACAAGCAAAAAGAAATCCCAAAATCTACAAACGTTTATCCATGCTGTTTACGCTGTACTTTTCTAACTGTTCATTGCTTTCGTCAGGATGGTGGTGGGCCACTGAATGATCAAGAAAACGTGGTTCAATCTTCATCAGTAATTGCATTCATTACAGTTAAGGATATGCCAAATCTCGACCCACAATTTCTGAATTTACCTGACCTTGCTGCTGTTGATGAGAATTCACCTGTGGTGAGTGGCATTTCTTTCTTTCTTTCTTTCTTTCTTTCTTTCTTTCTTTCTTTCTTTCTTTCTTTCTTTCTTTCTTTCTTTCTTTCTTTCTTTCTTTCTTTCTTTCTTTCTTTCTTTCTTTCTTTCTTTCTTTCTTTCTTTCTTTCTTTCTTTCTTTCTTTCTTTCTTTTTCAGTATTTCTTTTTAAGGACATTTAATGTAACTTTGTAAATTCAACAATTTTTCTATTGTGGTACTGTTTGGGCACAGCTTGTTGTCTAATGTACTGTAAATCTTGATCCACACAAATATATCTCCATACACACACACACACACACACACACACACACACACACACACACACACACACACACATAATGATCTCTCACTTTTGAATCTCTCTCTGTAAATTCTCAGGGTACAACAATCTTTACTGTGAGAGCCAGAGATCCAGACACTGGGATCAATGACCAGATCCACTACAGTATTGAAAGTCAGTCAATTGGAAATTTTATTTTAAAAATGCACTTGGACTTTATATATATATATATATTTTTTTTCAATTGTTAACAGTCTCTCAAATGTCATACTCTATTCTGTCACCAATTATTAAGATATAGTAAGTAGTATTCTGCTGGTAATGTAATCTTAATGTGGCAGCCACCATGAGAAAAGACCACCTTATGTAGAACAGCTTTTTCTATGCCATTATGACTTTTTGTCCTGTTGCACAGGTGCTGATGCACCAGACCTGTTCCAAATCAATGATGAGACTGGTGAAATATCTATCAAAACTGTATTTGACCGTGAAGAATTATTGGATAAAAATGCTGTGGTAATGTTACAAATAATGGTGAGTTACTGACTTCTGAATTTAATTGTATCCTGTTATTATGATATCAGGTTGATTACAATTTAACGGCAGCAATATTTGGCGGCAAACTAATGTCACTGTATACTTTTAACCTTTGTAGTACCTATCATAATCTATGATTTTTATGAACGGTACTTGATTTGTTTTTTTTTATTTTTGCTGATTTTTTCTTCCTGTACTTCAGGGAAGTGAAACAAATCTTAATGTGGATGGAGTTATTGCAAGCACAATAGCAGAACTACAGATTTCTATTGGAGATGTGAATGACAATGGCCCTGAATTTTATGAGTGTGAAGGTGAAATTGAAACCTGCACACAGAAAAACAGCTTCATAGGCAAAGTTGATGAGAATTCATCTGCAGGACTGTCAGTAAATGAACTGAATATAAGAGTCAAAGATCCAGACCAGGTCTGTAATTACAACATTTGCATGGTTTCTTCTGAGGAGATTTTTTATTATGATTATTTATGTTTTTCGTGTATTGATGATTATTTTATCTATGATCCAGGGGCTAAACAGCAGGTTTAATCTCCGTCTTGAGGGACCTGATAAGGATGTGTTCGCTGTCAGTCCCAGCACTGGGGTGGGAGAAAGTTCTGTGCAAGTGATAATAAAAGATTCATCTGCTGTTGATTATGAGAAGAAGAAAGTAATGTCTGTCCAGGTTTGTATATGAGGGTGTCTCTGGAGATTTACCGCATAAGATAGCCGAGGCCCAGTAGTTTGGCCAGTGCCAGAATTACTGTATCCTAGCTTAGAGAAAAGGACCTTGCCTACTTTTAGAGTGATTACAGATACTGAAGAACATGCCAGTCACAAACACAGGGGAGAGTGGTCTTTACTGCATTGGGTTAATAACACCAAACTAGAAACCAGGAAAGATTTTATTATTTTAATATTTTTCTATTATTTGTACATTATTTTAAACTGGGTGGCATTTATGATAGTAGCCAGCCATAAAACAACAATTACCTTTATACAAGACAGTTAGTTTCAGCTGCTTAATTTGACTGGTCAAGCAGTATTGCAAGAAAATAGTTTACAGTATAGCAGCATTGGACGTTTGACTCTTTTTGTCACTTCACTTGCTTGTGTTTCACTGCATAGAATTTCACTTCGATGGTGTCGTGCCGCAGGACTCCGGTCTGCCCGGGACGAGAGGAGAACACATCGGCGAACTGACCGACCAGGTGCTGCAGCTGCCTCTTCTGGGCAACCGAGAGGTGGGGGTTGACGTTAACAACCACGGGGTCAGAGACGGCGAGGGCTGCGAGCTGGTCTCTAGTTCCGGCCAAAGAGGAGCTCGAAGGGGGTGAAGCCAGTTGAGGCCTGTGGAACTTTGCGGATCCCGAAGAGGACATAGGACAGCATCAGGTCCCAGTCGCGTTTGTCCTCCGCGACCACCCGTCTCAACATCTGCTTGAGTGTTTGATTGAAGCGTTCGACCAGTCCGTCGGTCTGGGGATGGTAGACTGTGGTCCTCAACTGCTTCACCCGCAACAGCCGGCAGAGGTCAGCCATTAGCCGGGACATAAAGGGGGTACCCTGGTCGGTCAGGATCTCCGCTGGGATGCCGACTCGGCTGGAGAGCAGGAAGAGTTCCTGGGCAATGGCTTTGGCGGTGGCTTTTCGGAGGGGAACTGCCTCGGGTACCGGGTGGCATAGTCGACAATCACCAGGATGATATAGATATATATAGATATATAGGTGGTGAAGCCAAAATTAACAAAATAGCTGTTCATATTTTGCCTGAAATGTTCTTTACTCTCTATTAACCTCAACCAATGCCATGAATTTAGGACAAGACTATTTGTTTTCCTTTTAAACAAGAGTAGCATTCAGAAAACCTGTTTGAAACCTCTTTGCAATAGACAAAATTGTACTAAAATGCAGTTTTAATACTTCGTTATATCTCTCCAGATTATTGCTGAAGATGCCAGTGCAGACTTCACCTCTATGGCTTCTATCACGATTAACATCAATGACGTAAATGACAACATTCCTGAGTTTGAGGAGGATGAGTTTTCTATTGATGAACACTGATGACGGAACTGTTTTGGGCATCATTACTGTAAGTGCATCTTTTATTTACTCACTTTTCCTTTTCGTGGTGTCTAAGATTGATTGTTTTGATACTCACTAATGTTCTGGTTTGACAGGCAACAGATGAAGATGCCTTGGATGATGGCAAACTCACTTACAAATTGATGCCAGAAAGCATGTATGTTGAATATTCAGTCTGCTATCATTTGGTTGGGACAAAATTACTCAGTTAGTCATTGCAAGTTTGCTCTTTTCTTTTTCTTTTCTTAAATGTACATCAGGCGGGAGTTATTCGATGTTCATCCAGAGACTGGAACTATCGTTGTAAAAAATGGACAGCGTCTTGACAGGGAAGGCACCAATTCCTACTCACCCACCCTGCAGGCCATAGATTCAGATGGCAAGATTGGTACCACTGTTTTGATGATCAACATTCTGGATATTAATGATCAGACACCAGTGATGAACAGAGTACTTTATGAGGCCTATGTACAAGAGAACCAAAAATTAGAGCTTAAAATCCAGGTAACTTTATGTATGTAATGGTGATTGAGAAATCAGCATAGACATCTAAAATGATGAAGATAGATTGTGTGAATGATTTGTATGCCACTTTTACTCACGTAACTAGTAGATAGTTGCATGGTGCTAGCAAGGTCATGGACTTGACTGTCAGGGAACACAGAAAAAAAACGTATACCTTGAAATTACTGTGAGTTGCTTTGGATAAAAGTGTCTGTGAAGTGAATAAATGTAATGGAAGTCTCTATGTCTCTAAAGGAAAACCTGTTTTTTTAATTTTGAAAGGCTACAGATGGAGACGACCCAAAAAACCCAAACAGCATAATCCAGTATCGCATTGACAACAGCCCATTCAGTAGTAACTTTACCATAGACCATGACTCTGGTGTGCTTGAAAACAATGGTCGATTGGACCGTGAGGCTATGGACCCTGCCCTAGATGGTGGGATTGAGTTGATGGTGATCGCTTCAGATATGGGCACACCATCCCTGTCCTCCACAGCAAAAGTGACCATCAACATTGGGGTGAGAGTGCAGCATTTATATAGTTAGAGATGAACTGTACCATTTATAGGTTTATTGATCGTTTATTGTCTTCACAATAAGCAATGTGCATATATTTATAGGCATTTATTAAAAATAGATTTAGAAATATATTGAAGTATAATTCATTCATTTAATTAAGTAACTTACTTTTTTCTTTCTATTTTTCCTAGGATGAAAATGACAATTCTCCACAGTACCTTGATCCTGCTCCCTACGAATTTAAAGTAAAGGAAAGTGAAGGAGGTAACTTGTGCTTTTTCTGAACAAATTCATTACGATTTTAAGTAATTTTTTAGTAAATTTCCAGAACTGCATAGTTATTTTCAAGAAATAACTTACAGTGGGTACGGAAAGTATTCAGACCCCCTTCAATTTTTCACTCTTTGTTATATTGCAGCCATTTGCTAAAATCATTTAAGTTAATTTTTTTTCCTCATTAATGTACACACAGCACCCCATATTGACAGAAAAACATTAGCAAATGGCTGCAATATAACAAAGAGTGAAAAATTGAAGGGGGTCTGAATACTTTCCGTAGCCACTGTATATGAACATTTTGTAAAAACGGACAACTTTTTGTCTCCCCTCTATAGGCATATGGGTTGGCTCTGTGCGGGCTCACGATGGCGATCAATCAGACTTCAATAATCGTATCTTCTTCAGTATTACTGATGGTAGTTTTGGAAGTTTCATATTATTTAGTGAGAACATCAGTGAAGGTTACAGGGGCAACATCACGGTGGATCCCGCTGTTGAGCTGGACTACGAAAGTGACCGCAAGACGTACGATCTAACAGTGGAGGCCTTGGACTTGGGTCAGCAAAAGGTTGAGACAACAGTGAAAGTAATTGTGGTTGATGTGAATGACACTCCACCTGAATTCCCATCCGACATGACCCTGAGCGTAAAAGAGAACAGCACCTTGTCAATGCCTCTGGGCACAATCAAAGGCGAAGATGTGGACACTGAACACCTTCTAGAATATGAGCTTGATTCTACTGAATGCCAATGCAATGGCGTCAGAGGTCCATGTCCCGAAGAGTGGTTCAAAGTTGAGAGTAACGGTGATGTGATAACTAATACTGTCTATGATATTGACTATGAGAAATGTGATAAAGTGTTCATGAATGCCAAGGTGGTGGATGTTTTAACTGAGAAGAGGAGAGACAGTACTGAAGGTACATTCTGTTGCATCATATTGTCCATTAAAAAAGTGCTTTCTTTCCTGCGCTAGCCTTTTTTTTCATAGTATGTTCTGTTGTTGAAGGAATAGCTCACCCTAAAAATTTTCCAATTTATATCATTTTTTTTTTCGTGAATAGAGCAAAACAGGTGTTTTTCATAAAAAAAAATTAAAAAATAGGATGGTCCTTTCCAATTGCAATTTTTTTGTTGTTGCAATTTTAGATTTAATTTCTGGTCGCATATTGTCAAACATGACCGTTTATGTGACATTCATTAGGTATAAGTGATTTCAAACTTGAACATTTAAAAAATGAAGAAAAATACAGGACTTGTACAATATGTGGATAAATTGTTATTTTTAGGTGCACAATTCCTTTAAGTTAAATGTATCACATTGAGATTTTATGTATTTTCCAATTTCCTCGCTCATATTAACCAGTACCATTAATCATTTTGGTCTTTATTGAGTGCATTAAATATTCATAAAATATTGTTCACTTGCTTGTAGGAGTTGTCACTATTAATATTGTGGATATCAATGACAACGCCCCAGAGTTTGTTGTCTTGCAGGACTTCTATGGTACACAAAAATTATATTCAAAAATAAATAAATGATTGACATATAAGCAAATGTATATTATTTATGAAAAAAGTTTTAACATATTTCTGTTTCTCTAGTTGTAGTCATTGAGAAAGTTGAGGTGGGCACATCTGTTGGCAGAGTTTATGTAAGTGTGATATTTCACTTATTGACAATTTGAGGTCTCTTTATATGTCACTTTTTGTGCTGTAATATACACTTATCCACTGTTATGTTATTTTTTTTTATGTTACAATATAATGTCTTTGAGTCTCCATAAAGTATTTCCCCGGGTTTGTTTCCTTTTACACCTTTAAGGCCATAGACAGAGACACAGGAGAGAACAGGAAAACCAAATTTGAAGTTACCAAGGTGGACTTTGTTAGCAGTGAAGGGAATTCCACAGAGAGTTTGTTTCTCTACGCCGACTCTGCTGATCAGGAAGATGCTGACGGAAGGTTCACTGCACATATACGGTGAGAAATTAAAGTTTCTAACCTGTTTGTAAATCACGAATAGGCATAATGTGGTGCGATGCGGCAAGTTTCCAACATTAAATAATTTGTCTGTCCATGCTGAAGGCTTAAATGCTGTGTGAATAAGTTAAAACAGAATCCGAAAATAGAAACTATTCAATGTGCATCAGTCAAAATGTTGTTGTGGCTGGTTACACCCCAAAGGAACTAAACTGGAAGTAAACAAGCAAATGTCTCTTCATAATGTCCAGGTCCCAGAAGGCAATGGAAAATAATAAAAGAGGGAAGTTCATGGTTCAGGTGAAGGCGTCTAATCTTGATGGTCTCAGTTCCACCTCTGTGGTTGAGGTAGGGTATTTTCACCCCTTCAATGTATTATTAATTCATTCAGTCTTGTTTATTTTAGTCATTTTCTAATTGCATTGTTTTGCAGCTTCTCACAGTTGACAGCTCCTACAGAGTCAGTCTCAGATTTAGTGCATCTGTGTCTGAAGTCAATGAGAATTTGCCTTAGATCAGAGCGTAAGAGATGCACTTTAAGGTTGATTTGAATCTATTGATGTGTGAAGAAGTGTTATTTTAAAGGACACTTGGAATGTGATTCATGATTATTATTTATTTGATGCTTTTTTCAAATTCAGGTCAAAGGGAATACATGTGTTTGATATTTTTTACAGGATTCTGATAAGTGCTACAAAAGCAACGGTGGAATTCTTCAATGTGTTTAGTGAGACGGTTATTCCGCGGTAAGATTCAATCCCCCACATCCCCATGTATACATATACAGTAAACTAAACTGAATCTCACCAAACTCATGTTAAGTCTGGAATATCTTTTTATTTCATTCCTGTTATAATATGTATAATCCAGCAGGTGGCGTGTACATCATAGACTAAATCCAAGTCGGTTTGTATTTTCTCTCCCAAAGAGATTCAAAATTCCATGTAGATTTCCTGTCTTGTCAGTGCTACTGTTATTAAGCAAACGTTTCATTTATTTGGCATAATTAGAGAATTATGGATTTAATTTTGGCAAGAGACCAGCAAAATTGTATCTACACTATAAAAATAAAATTGCACCCATTTCAAGTTCAGTTGCTGACTTAAATTTTTAAGTATAATCATCATAGTCGTAACTTAAACTTACTTAAAAAATCGAGTTGAATCTCAAAAAAGTTGAAATTGCTCAATGTATTTTGATGAGTTACTGTAAAAACGTAAGTTGCCATGACTTACTGATCATATCATTTTTTTGTACTGTATTTACAAACAGAATATTTATATTACTGCTCAAGGGACCCAAACATTTTCAAATACTCCCTCAAACCTGTATAACTTTATTTCTTCTGTGGAATATAAAAGAAGACATTTTAAAGAATGTTCAGTGTTGTTATAGTTAACTAAAACTATATATAAAAAAATATGTTAATTAAAATACGTTTACATTTACATTACATTTATGTATATACCAGATACTTTTATCCAAAGTGACTTCAAAAAGTGGAACAAAAGCTTCTCAAGGAGTCAACAATATTTGTAATATACAATGGTTTTGTAACAGTTATGAACTCTTTTTGTTGTTTTTCACTCTGTGTAGTCTTCTGGTCTGTTTAGTTCATCTGTGCTCTTATTTGGTTCTGTTCCTGTCCTAGTTTAGTTCATTGATTCATTAGTGTTCATTAGTTAATTCCCATCACCTGTTTGTCATCAGCTGGCTGCCTTATTTAAACTCACTCCTTAGTTCCAGCTTTCATTCAGTATTTTATGTCAACATATACGTTTGTATTGGCGTGTGGCTACCCCTCATATCTGTGGATTATCCTCTACCTGGTTGTTATTAAACTTCTTATTGTTTGTATCTTCGTTCTCGTGTGCCTTCCTCAACACAGCCGTGACAGGTTTATTTAATATACAAAGGTTTAATTGACAACTGGATTAGGAATAAATATATAAATATTAGATGGAAAAACTTAAAAATGACTTTAAAAATGAAAATCAGTAACGTTGCCTTGGCAACTAACTTAAAATAAGTTTAAGATGAACTATTAAACATACTATAACTAAAACTGAAATAAAAAAATTAATTAAAGCTAATTGGAAATTTAAAAAGAAACTAATAAAAATGACAAAAACAACAATTACTAAAAGTAAAATGAAAACTGAAAATATAAAAATGCTAATTTAATATATAAATAAATGCTATAATAGCATATACATAATACAAAAATTATAAAACAATGACAGCAGAATTTATGTCCTTTGCAGAGCTGAAGAGATGACCATTTTGGAGGCTTATTTTGTGTTCCCAAACGGCACAGCTCTTGACTATGATGCAGTGACCGCAATCCTGAATTCAGAGGAGGTCTACAAGGAACATGGATACCAACTAACTCAGCTTGGATTTACTGGCATTGTAAGTAACAACAACAACAACAAAAAAAAAAAAACAATCCCCCTCCCAATACTCCAAAAGTTAATCATGAAGGTTGTTATCAACATGTTAAGCTTTACATTTTTTTTTTTTTTTTTTTAAATTTCCTTAACAGTTGACAACTGTTACCGAGTCTACAGATGTTAAGACAGAGGTATTCATCATGATTGGTTTGATGGCTGCACTGGTGATCGTTCTTGTTGTAACAACCACCTCACTCGTGTGCATCAGAAGAAAGTAAGATCTACTGAATTAGCCATTCAAGTTTCAATGATGTTAAAGAAACACTTACTCTTTGGTTTGAATTATGCTCTTGGTACAGCTTATCAGTCTCTGTATTATACCATTCATTTATATTTCTACTTTTAAATAATTTGTAATATTTATAGGGCTAAAATTAGCAACCATGCCCAAGTTGGATGGGAAGGCACTGCAGGTCATGTAGGGTGTGTATATACTTTACAGTGAACTTGCATGAACCCGCCTGTCAGATCTGTTCCCAACATCAGGCATAGAGCCAGTACAATGGCATTATGGAAGACCCTCTAACCTCAGTCTGGGTCACGCACATTACAAATCTGCTAACCAGATTCAACAGATTTAAAATAGCTCTTCTTGATGTGCACCCACACACATATGCACACGTTTCTTCATTCTGTCTGCGACCGTTTCGGATTTTCAACTTAACGCTGCTGGGTCTCTTTCTACCCTTTAGCTACAAGAGGAAACTGAAGGCAGCCAAAGCCATGAATTCAGCAGCCACAGTGGTCATAGAGAATCAGAAGACCAGCCCTGTTGTTCCTGGAACCAACAAATACACCAAAGAAGGGTAAGACAGACATCACGGGTTGCCTAAAATGATGGCCCGTATATAATTTTGAACAGGGATTCAGCAGCAAGCTGTTGTGTGAGATTGTTTGATATGTATTCCACAGAGCAAACCCAGTGCTGAATATGAATATTGACACGGCCACAGACCTAGGCTTTGACGAAGATGGCTCCAGCGCAGACAGAGAGAGGTACCATAACAGTGCTCTACAGACTATAAACACTATGGGAAAAAAAAAATGATGAAAATTTTATAGACTCACCAACAAACATGCCTAATTTTATATCGTCACTGTCATTCTATTTTCAAATTGTGCTAAATTACCCCATTTATTTAATTACTAGGGCTGTTAATTTATTAAAATGGCATACTCTACCATTTGGAACCCATTTACTCAAGAGTTTGAAAGAAGTGTTTTATGCTTATTTGTAAAAACAGTAATATTGTGAAATTGTATTACAATTTAAAATAACTTTTTTTCTATTTTGTCTATTTTAAAATGTAATTCATTCATGTGACAGCAAAACTGAAGACTAATGGCTGCTGAAAATTCAGTCACATGATCCTTCAGAAATCATTCCTACATGATGATTTGGTGCTCAAGAAACATTTCTTATCATTAGTGTTGAAAACATTTGTGCTGATTAATATTTTTATGGACACTGTGATCCCTTTTTTAAGATTTTTTTGATAGAAAGAAATAGAAAGTTTAAAAGAACAGCTTTTATTTTAAACAAAAATCTTTTGTAGCATTATAATGTTTTTACTGCCACTTTTTAATTTGTTTTTAATTTTTTTCATTATACTGTCACAATTTAATTTATTCTTGCTGAATAAAAATATAAATTTCTTTCACACAAAAAAAGGGGCCACAAACTTTTGATTTGTAGTGTATAGATCAAGGGGCATGTGACACTCTACTTATTACTTTTTGTATTATTATTAATCATACTAAATTATCAAAACACTAAATCAACAGCCCTATTAGTTACATAATGTATCGCAATTGTCTGGTGTCTCAGGCAGTTTGTGATTTCATGTAAATACATTAGACAGTGAGAGGTGAAATGTGATATTCCCTGCTCTGAAATGATCTAAAAAAAAATATATCAGATTGCACATTCAAAAACTGAATTCACTGTAAAAGATGGAAACCACTGACTTACAATGGAAGTATTTGCAAGCATGTTTATCTTGTCATGGGAGCCCACATTCTGCCAATGAACTTAAATGGCATCTACAAAATCCATTTAAGATACAGTATGCCATTTGTCCAGGACCAATACTGTGGTTCTCCATGACAGATAGCATCTGTTTGCACTAATCTGTGGGTAATGGTAGATTATGAGTTTCACTAGCAGTAGTTTTAGTTTAATGTTGTGATGTTGGCGATCCCATGTTTCTCAGAATCACACTAAGCTATACTACATGCTAATTGAAGCATGTGTTTGATTTTATTTCAAGCTACGTTACTGGTCCAAAATGTCTTTACTGGTAACTTTTTCCCCCATAATGTCCTTTGTGTCTTCATACAGAAGAGGTGCTTTGTGAGATTCTGATTATGTGTGTATGTTGTGTGTCTGTTCTGTTTTAGCCTTAATTCCTTGGACTACAACATCGATATGACCATGACAGAGAAAGACACTATGCCAATGATGGTAAATGTATTATTAAAATAAAGATAATATACAGTGGGGAGCAAAAGTCTGAGACCACTAGTAAAAGTCAACATAATTCGTGAAACAATTAATTGAAAAAAAATAAAATAACATGAATTGAAGAATTATTTACTACTTGTTGTCACCTTTTTGCTTTAATAACAGCAGCACTCGGGCTGCATGACCTCCATAAGTTCGTGTAAAACCTGATAATCATGTTCTCCAGCATGATTTGAGGCATTCACAAAGGCGTTCACATTGTCACTGATTTGCTTATTTGATTAGTGACAGAGCTGAAATATTTCTTGTTCCATTTTACTTAAAAACAAATTCAGAACCCTAAAAGTTCCCAAGTGTTTTTGAATCACAGATTTTCAATGTGATGGCAGACTTTTGAATTCCACAGGATTTCAAGCATATTTCCAGTGCCACTTATAGTGCAAAGAGACACATTTTTCTATAAATGCTGGGACACAAGTGCTTCTTAAATCTTTATAAGTTCTTTAGCTGAGTATGTTTTGAGTACTTACTTTTTCTGTTGTGCGGTAGGTAATTCAGGAGGAAGAGGAGGAGGATGAAAGGAGTGAATCTCCATACATTGAGCCTCTGGGTGCTGCACTGGCCCAGCGAGAAAAGAGGAGAGGTGCAGACAGCCCCAGTCTCACTTTTGCAAACCCTTCCATAGACACCACTGATCTCTAACATTCAGCCTCTGACCTCCACCTATTTGCCATTTTTTTATACGTGGTCCTGCCAAAAAAAGGAGAAAAGTCTCAATTTCACAATTTATTCAATTTGGACAAACTCTAAATCTAAACAAGACCGTTATCATCAATGCACTTTTAAATGTAAGAGTTGGAGAGAAAAAAATTCTCAGTGCACTAAAAACAAGCAGTAATTCAAACAGTATTTGAAGTCAAATTTTACTTACATTATTATTATTATTTTTTTTTTTTATTCTGAACTTATGGAATCTCCAATATGTAATACCTATTCCTAGATTGTAATGTTTTGTCATTCAGAAGAATGGAACTCTCTATTTTAATTATTCTTTTCTGTCTCTGAACAAAAAACATAAACTGCATCAACAGAAACTAAAGTAAAACTGCTTGTGTATCCTGCCAAATATTACCTGGCACCATTCTGCTAAGTTTAGGTCTTAGTCAAATCAAATCAAGTAAATAAAACTCATATCTTGCTAAGCCAAATTGGTGACCAGGGTGTATATATTTTGTAAGCTGTCTATATATGGTATATTGTTATATGTTCTAAGTGCAATCATTCATTAGCATGTTCAGTGAATTTGAAAAAAATACATTTTGTTTTGGTATTTTACTCTAATAAAATGTATCACGTTATCAAAATGAGTCACAAATCAAGTTTTGCTTTTCCCTTAGACATGATTTAATTTCAAAACTATTCACTTTACAGTTCTCACAACAGTCACAAAACATCACAGGTAATGTAAGGCTTGAAGGTGTGTTCCTTATTGTGCTGAGCTTAACTGCAAATACAAGACAAACCCATTTAATTACGAAGTTATACAAAAACCAATAGAAAAAGAAGAATCTGAAACTGTTGGAAAATCACACAGCCACAACAGCACTTATGTTTTATTTATTTGTTCCTTTTTATTCGAAACAACCCCAAACGCATTAACTGTATCATGAAATATCTTGATGCTTAGCTGTTTACACTATGAAATTAATATCTTACAGATTCGTACAAACATTTGCACTTTGTTGTTTCTGATGAGAGAATTCGCCAGAAAGAGGTATTCAGACAGCGAGCGAGTGAAGAAAACACCGGCATTTTAGCGATGACTCATCTGAAAACCTCTGATTGGTCATTGCATTCATAAGCTCAACAGCATCGTGTGTGATTGGTTAATGCGCAGTGCTCAGCACCAGCCAGCGAACACAGATTTGAATGTAGCAACTGATGATATGACGCACTGAACGTTCTAATCATGCTGGTGTGATTGTATTAAATATAGAAAATATTAATCGGCTATTTTTTGTGTTTTGGAAGCTGCATTCAAAATCCACTTGGCTCAAAAATCTGAGGGGGCACGTGCCCCCTCACTTTGAATAGGCATGACGCCTCTGCTTGGTACTGTCACTCTAAATGTAGTCTACTGTTCCTTAAATGTACATGATGAATTCATATATACATGTTTGAAATTTATACATTTTAAAGGTAAAATTATTAGTGTAAAATATTGTAAAAGGGCACTTTAAAAGTGATCCTCACTGACCACAACAACATCAGGGTAGCACAGTCTTGACAGAAGCAAGCAAAAACACACTCAAAGCAGCAAAGCTGGTAGGAGCCATTTTAAAGTCAAGAGCGAGGAGAAATTAAGACGACTGTATTTGCAGTGTATCAAACCAAACCAAAAATGATGATTATCCATATAGGGGCTTCTTGTGACGCAGTGTCAATACAAGTCATTTAAAATGTCTTAAGTCTGTTAAAGGGGCGTATCATTGAACAAAACCCAATCCTGTGCACGTCCAAAGTGCACAAAACTTGGAAAGATTGTCTCATTTGGATTATTAAAATGGTTTAGACTACCATGCCTTCCTTAGTTTTCCTCATCTTGACGTGGTCTTGAACAACAACTTGGCCGCCGGATGTTCCTGAACCACTGGCGAAAATTATTCTGTCGACGCCTGCCGCTCTGCACTGTTTTTTCCTCACTTTGTCCTTTGGCCAGGCTGATTTCACCAAGGTCTGATGTGGGGGGAGGACTGGAAGGCATCGTCATAGATGTTTCGGTTGGGTTTGCTGGCAGAGCATCTGCCGGAGAGAGTAAGGCCAAAGGCTGTTTCTTCTGTTTCTTTACCTGTTTCTCCAGGTGTTTCTGGATGGCCGAGCCCAGCACTGTCACCTCCACCACCGCACCGTACACCTCCCAAGTCATTCCCTTTTCATCCCAGCTCACCTCCTGCACGTGTTCTGGCACTTCTTCTTCTGGTGTCACCCTGACCCGTGGCTCTGGCTCGGGAATTACCTCAGGTGGGGTCAGAACGATTGGGGTCATAGGAGCCGTGGCAACTGAACGTAATTCCACCTGCAAGCCCACCTGCAACTCGGCATCTTTGGTCTGTGCCACCTCTGTACTACACTTGTTGGCAAGTTTTCCAAAGGTGCTTGGAAAAAGGAATGTTGTGGAGCCCTCGGGAGGAGTCATGGGGCTGGTGGCCACCGACTGGTACATCACCTCTAGGCTAACCTGGGTTTGCACGTGCTGTGTGCGTCCAGGCGACCGAGTCAAGGCGAGCGTATCTTGCAAAGGCCGTCCAGCATCCTTGGTTTCAGCTGATTTGGTTTTCTTCAGAAGTTTTACTTCTACATCTTCAGGCTTTGTGGGTTGATCTTTCGGACTGCAAACTTCCAACGAGGCCTTTGTGTTAGTGCCTGTGCTACTTGCGTCTGTTTTCTGTGGGGTGCTTGAACCTTTGCTTCCAGAGTTTGTCTCATTGCTACTTTCCCCTGAATCTCCAGGCAATCTTGGTTCGTCAGTGGTGGTATTCTGCTCAGTTGATGCGTGGCTTATCACGCTGGTCTTCTGGACTTGACTGACTTCAATCACGTTCACCACGACGATGGAGATTTGGTTTTCTTCAGTTTTACTTCTACATCTTCAGGCTTTGTGGGTTGATCTTTCGGACTGCAAACTTCCAACGAGGCCTTTGTGTTAGTGCCTGTGCTACTTGCGTCTGTTTTCTGTGGGGTGCTTGAACCTTTGCTTCCAGAGTTTGTCTCATTGCTACTTTCCCCTGAATCTCCAGGCAATCTTGGTTCGTCAGTGGTGGTATTCTGCTCAGTTGATGCGTGGCTTATCACGCTGGTCTTCTGGACTTGACTGACTTCAATCACGTTCACCACGACGATGGAACCATCGAGACTCTCTTCCTCAGTTGCTCCTCCACCCTCAACTGAAGAGACAGTCTCGGGTTCAACAGGGCAGCTGGAAGTCTTCTGCTCCTCAAACTCCTCATCCTCCTCATCCTCTAAAGTACAGTCATGGTTAGTCACCAGTATGGTAATCTCCTGGTCAAGGTTATGTAGGCCAGATGCCAAGCACATCTTATCTGCTGGATCCTCTGCTTGGTTAACACACCTCTCTTGTTTGCATGCTGCCGCAGGTGGCTCATCGCTCTCATCTGCTGTTTGAGAGGAAGATAAATCCTCTTCTAATCGCAGCTCATGTGGAATTACTGACTTGATTTGATCTGATGTAACCTCTTGGTCGGGTTGCTCCTGGATGCTGCCACAGATCTCCTCTTGGACTGTGGTCCCTGGGTTTTCAGATGCTTTTGACAGGTTTTCATCAGTTATGTTGTCGTTCATAAGGGGCAAATAGTCAATACTTCTGTCATTGGTGTTTATACTTGTGCTGGTCTCCGAGCCAACCTTCCAAACTTCACTTTCTGTCAGAACAGGACCCTCCATGGGTTCAGAGATGGGTTTGTGTTGATCCGGGAGAGGGGCAGTGAAACGTCTGAGCTTCACGGTCTCACACCACTGATGGTTCTGCTGGAAAAAAATTCACATAAATGGATTAGTGCATTAATGTAGGTGCAATGAATAAAAAAAGAGCACTTGACATGCATTAATGATGGCACACACACAAAAACAGTCATTTCTGAAAACATTACTTTAGGTAAAATTCAGTTCAAATCATACTGTTTTGTGATGATCTCGGGCACTGAAAAAAAAAAAATTCTGTTCTTGAAATAATTAACAAAAAAATGAAACAAACTTCAGTCTTACAATATTTATAGGAAGAACATTATCGATTGCCAATAAACTGATTCCTCTTTTTCCTCAAAAAGAGAGATCCAATTATGTCATAGCAGCTCTCTGATCCGGTTCATCCACATACACACACACACACACAAACACAAAAAAACTTGCTTGGTAACAGTATCCTCTAAAAACAAAACTACGATGGCACACAGTGAGACCACTATTGAAAAACACATACCTCAACTGCACGACAGATCAAACGCTGTATCCATATTTTCAAAGATTTCACAGCCAGAGCATGTATTCACACTCCAAGCTCCTCTTTTAGGTGCTGGTAATGATAAGAGGCAGGCTGTAGATGGTTTGTTTTCCAGAAGAATCTCAGTGGATGGCGGTCCTTGAAATTTCACTGTGGTTGAGAGTACTGAAAGCTTCTGATTTTTAGTTTCCCTGGAAACCAGACTCAACATGGCAGTGAGTGGTAATGAAATGACAAAGTATCGGTAGCTTTTTAATCAGAAGCAAATGATGGTGATTAAAATCCATGTGTCAAAAAACAAAACAAAACAAGGCTCTTATGTAATAAAAACTTATATGAAATGCATTTACTTTGGCAGACAAGACACTAAAAGGGTGCACCAGTAGTGTCTTTGTGATCTCTGGAACAAAACATTTGATACAATTTAGTTTTTCTTATATAACAGAATGAATATATATAGAATGAAATCACATTTTCATCTGTTTTTGTTTTCTTCACATGATGGTGGACGGTGTAGGTCACTATACTGCTGCAATTATGTAAAAGACCTTCTAATTAATATTCTGTCTGAATTTTAGTGAACTGCAGGTAAGTAGTGAACTTCATGCTTTTTGGATTTATGCATGTGCTTGCACACTGGCCCATTGCACCTCACCATGAAAAGGAGTGTGTTCTGGAGAGCTGTATTCTATCGCCTATGTTCTCACCATAAAAATGGAGGGCTTTTGCCAATCGCACGCTCCCACAGAATATTTGTTGCCTAGCAACCAGCCATGTACATGCAGGGGGGGAGGGGGGTGACTGTGTTCATGGTAATGGTGGGGGAGTGTTCAGACAACACATGCCATATTCTGAAAACAAGAGGATGCTGCCTGTCATTGCAGGTGAATGATGAGGAGGAGGAGGAGGTGGATAGGGATGTAAAGATGAAGGGGATGTGGAGGTGGAGAATACGGGGGAGAGGGCCAAAAGTGCTGGAGATCAGCTGTAAATTAAGTTGTGGTGAGAAACCTTTCCTCAGGATGAAACAGTTTGACATTTGCATCTACCATTGACATGAACACTAATGGGTACATGTTGACTGCTTTTATCGTCAGTATAAAACAGCTTATTTATTTAAGGCTAACCACTACAAAAAAACGTTTTTTTTTTTCATGCATTTGGCCAATTTTGAGATTTTGGGCTTATTGGCTTTTCATAAAGTGTTTTTTTTTTTTCAGACAATGGAAAGAAAACATTAAAAATACATTT